TAATAACTCAAATCTATTGATAAATCACGTGAATGCTTATTTATATTTATTGATAAGCTATTTTTAGATTATAGATAAACCTTTTTGAGATTGTTGTTATTTATGTATTTCAATTAGATAATATAGAAAAACCTTATTTGTTGTTTTAATATATTTATTTATTTATATTGACGATCCTATCCTACTTTTGAAAGTTGCTATCATACTTGTGTGGAGTGTTAATTAACTTGCTTAGATAATAAGTTATATATATACATGTATGTTTTGCTTATTACTTTTATATGTATACTTGTTTTGCTTGTTTACTTTTTATATGTTTATGTTTACATGACAAGATAAGAAATAAATATATTGTTTATGTATATATGTATATTTAAACTATCTTGTTTTTAGAAAGTTTCAATATTCTTCTGGACCTTTGAGTAACTGGAGCAACTTGATTTATCAAATGGGTTTAGTTGCTTTTTGGGTTCCTTACAATATTAAGAAAGGTGTTAACCTGCACTGACCTGATTGTAAGCTATATGAAGTTGATATTGGCACCTTTTTTTTGACTGTGAATTAATTTACAGGTCTCTTTTCTTTTTTCTAAAATTTTAAAAAAAAAGAAATAAAAGAAAGTTAGTAAAGCAATGTATACCTTTTTCCTTGATATTTCTGGATAACTTGTTATAAAGTGCTTGATAGCTTGATTTAAAGGATATATTGTTTTTCCTTGTATGTTTGAACTGGTTTACTTTTTTCAAGAAAATTATCAAAAAAAAATTTTTTTTTGAAAAAAGGAAGATCAGTAGAAAGAGTTTTTATTATCATAGATTTATTTATTTATTATATTTTTAAAATTAATATTATATAATAATATTATTTATTTGATTAAAATCTATTGTTTAAAATTAAAGCAAGAAAATCTTAAATTTTATTTAGTAAAGCCTTTTCATTACTTGAAAAACTTTAGTTAAAAGATAAAAGTCAATATAATATATTATTTTCTAATTGTATTTTAATATTATAATATTTTTCTCAAAACTGATTCAATTGAAAAAAAATTTTTTTCTTTATTATTAATATTATTAAAACATAAATGTAATCAATATAAGCTTATTTATATTCTAAAAATCAATATATTTTATATCAATTGAAATAAATAACAATTTTCAAAAAATTATCAATGAAAACTTTAAAAGGATCAAGACAGCTGGTACAAAAAGAAAATGCAATTTTCCAGTATAGAAAATTTCTATAACAATTTGTTTAAAAAGTAAAAAAATCTTCTAAAATAGAAAGTATATATTTATTTTATAAGTCCCAACATGCGTTAAACTATTTTACTGTACTTAGAGAGATATTGCACTTAGGGAGTATGCATTTAGAGAGGGTTGACTGTATCTTTTAAAATATTATAGTATCTAATTGAAAATTAAAGTATACAAATTAATTAACATAAGTAAAAGGTCATTATTGATTAGTATGCTGCTGCCTTTCGGTAGTCCGAAACAATAGTCTAGTTCTAATTATATGTGCTAAAATTATAAAAAGTATATGAATGCAATATAAATATAAATATGAAAAGCATTCTCATAAATCATCGTCACAAAAATGTCTTCGCGGCTTTAAATGATTCGCTAGTAATATAATTAATGATCTCATCTAAATTCATTGTAATACCGATATGAACAAGACCAGGTATCTTCGCCCTTTGCACTCCTGCCCACTCTAATGGTGGTGTTGCATCTCCAAGGTAACGCAGTTGTGGTTCTAGCTTAACCGGTACTATGGGGTTATATTCTATTTCAACTTTACTTGATTCATCTTTTTCGACGTTCTCTACCCCACTGGTGGTTCCACCAGCTGGTTCTTTACTCAGCAACGATTGTGCTACCGGAGACTCTAGTGGCAAGCCTTCATTAGTTGTCATCGGTATTACCGGTGATTTCGGGAGATCGCCATCAGAACCTATTGCATTCTTTCTTAACTGTTCTTTATATAACGCAGCCAACTCTTGAAGGTATCTGATTAATCCAAAATTCAACGCGACATCCAGTTTTCCTCTGAAATCAACTTCAAATTTATGGTCAACCACAGTGCTACCCACTCCTTGTTCTGTGTTCATTATCAGATGTGTGCTTGGAAGCGTAAAGATATTCTTTGACGAAGAAGGTTCGACATGTTCAAACCATTGTTGAAATGATAAACCTTGTTCATCTTTAATATCAAGTTTTTTGCATGAATTCTTGGTTAACACTATCGCATTAAGTTGAACATCGAGCTCTCTATGGATTTTCTCTTCATCCCCAATGAATCTTTTCATATCAACCAAAAATCCGTCAAATCTATTTTGTACGTAATCGGTGTCGTGAAAATGATTTGGATAGATTGTAATTTGAGCCTTTTCCATCATTATTGTAATTTTTCCAACCGGATGAACCGACAGTCCCCCAACTATAAATTCGTTGAATCCTGCCGACACATGTGGATTTTCATTAGACGTTGGTGTAAGAGCTAGTGTATTAGGTAAATGAAGAAGATTGGTGGTAGCTTGTGTCGAGTCTGAGATAACGCTGGCCGCAGAGGACCTCTTCTCTTCAATTAATGCCAAAAGTCTATTAATCATATGGAGAAATATGGGTATTGTCTTTATGGCAGCAATTGCCTGAATTCGCCTCAGAGATATGTCTGCATGAACTAATACAGAAGCTTTTTCGGGAGATGTAATGCTCCAACTGTCTGTAAGTTTGAATTGCATTGGATCTACTTCTAACACCAAGATTTTTTGATATTCGTATTCCAAAGATGATTGAATCCTTTCTGTCTTAAATAATAAACTTGTAACACATGTCGGACCATCAGAGGTTGAACGTGGAGGTACTCCAAGCAATGTTGAAAAGGTGAGCCCAGTCATGTTTGCATATCCAATAAGACGACCATCGCAATGTATGTCAAGAATGTCAGTTGACGCTTTAAGCTGTTTCACCATTCCGGGAATGTTTTTCGTGCGTACTTGTATATTTTGGGTATTAAAGCGCATCCTTCCAATCGCCTGACCTAAATCGCTGGATAGATCCAACTGTTTCAGTCTCATCAGTACATAAACTGAATATGGTTTGACATTGGTTTCCTCTTCTTGCGTGGGTACAGGTGAAGATGAAGATGATGCATGCCTGTCGTATTCGATACCTACTGAACGGGATGACTGCAAAACGCTCTCTTCATACAGCTTTGTGGCCTGATCAAACCAGGTTGTCTTTAAAAGCAACAAATCTTGCAAATGACGAATGTTCAGGTTAGCCATAATTTGGGGAAACTCTACAATTATTGATATCGAATCGTCAGAAACACTCTCGGTTCTTCTACTCATAAGAGTTGCGTTGAATGAAATATTCTTGGTTTCAGCTTTCAAGCAATCTTCAGGAGAAAAGGCATGGCGGACATTCCCCGAGGCCCCTTTAATTTTACCAACACATGTCAAACTTTGACCCCCCAGTTCCGCACTATTCGATGATATAAGAAAGTTTCCTTCTTCCCAGTTGAGAAAGCAACCCACTTTTGATACAGGCAGGCAACTAAGTTCAAAGGTTGTACGTGAGAGCTTGAAATAACAAGTAATATTCATGCCATAAATTGTAGAGGAACTTTCATTGTCAGCTATGGCTTTCTTGTCACTAGACCTCTGTACACCGATTTTGAGGCCATCAATAATGTCCTTGAAAAATGGTACCAAAGAAGGATATAATGTATTTGAACTTGGATGAATGACGAGCTCTATATGTATGCGCTTCGTTAAAGAATCCCTTGTGGAAAGAGGTTGTCCTAAAATTGTCCGATACATGGTATTTATACTAAGACCCGGTATTATAATGGTATCTATGCCATGTTCTCTTGACATATCGTCCAAATTTGTTGAAATGAAATTAGACGTGCCATCCAAATTCAATCGAGCAATACTGTTTCGTGAGCCACGTGATGATGCCTTAGATTTGTCCGACATCTTAACGCTTGTTACCTTCTTTGCGTTTTTGGCCAAGTGACTTTTCGAATATAATTTTATCGTCCCACTCTTAGCAGTAAATCTAATCTCCAGATCCAAATTAATAGCATTTGAGATTGCGGTGTCAGCCTGTGAATCTGGAATTTCGGAGCTGATTGGAGATTTTGGCTGTGGATGTTGCGATCCTAAACTTAAATTTGCTTCAACGGTGAATGTTTCTAGGCGATCTCGACTCGCGGCGTATATTTCACCAAGGCTGTTTATATGATTAACAATATCACCGCCTATATCAATTTCAAAGCCTTCAACCCTAGAGTCTATGTCCACTCTTTTCTTTTCTTTAGCACCACTCGAATTTCCTTCAAATGAAATTTCCGGAAGTGAAATTCGGTTTATTTTTTGATGGGAATGAGAAGAAAAGTGTTCCTCATTTCCTTGATCAAATTGTTTCACGAATTGAAGACATAGATCCTTGATAACCGCGCGACTAGATTCCAATTTTCTCGTAATGAAATTCATTGAGGATGCGGATAGTATAAATGCTGGAATTTGTGATGCATTCGCAAAGGATCCATCGTTGGTTGGCAAAAGTTCTTCTTGCAGATCGAGCGGAAGGGCAACTGCAAACCTCGTAATCTCGAGCGATAAAACCTTTTCATCTAATAATGATTTATTGCTCGATTTATATTTAGGCACTTCAACATTAAGCGACCTCCATATTTTGCGAGTATTTTCAGCCAATTTGTTAATTTCCGCTGCCTTCATTTCTTTTCGACGGACCAACTCGCTACTGTAGTAAACGTACAAATCAATTAGGCGACCTAATGCAATGGGTTGCATGACAGCGTGAACTTTAAATAAATTCAGGAAATACGATTCAATGTGTTCAACCGAATCATTGCTTTTTTTGAGATTTTTTTGCTGGACATGTTCGACTTTTCGCCCCTGTTCTTGAAATTTTGTAGAGCCAAATCAATAACAATATAAGCAATCCTATATCTTCGAATGTCGTCATCTCCCGTAGCCTGTCTTTTGACACCCGTGTTGTGATTAAGAGACAGTGAGAAGTTTTGCGCAGAAAACTTCCATTCCAGTTTTGTTAACTCCGGGACATCTGAAACGGGAACATTTGTGATGTGCCCGTATAAAGTCTTCGTTTCAAAAAATCCAACAGCCGAAGGGCTCACCGCTGATATTTTTAAACCTCTAAGGGAAATCCTGAGGTTGTAATACAACTTTTCTTTTTCAATGGTACGCGAGGAATCCATTTCCTTGGGTGAAAGATCCATCGTTTTTGAAGCGGTCCCAAGTTCCTTCATCTTTTTCGACGAAAATAAAAATACATCGAGCGCGTCACTTATTTCGCTGCCGAGCAGAGATTGCGCGGTCAACAAATTGTCAATAATATTAACATTCAGACTTAGTTTCACGAAATCCAAAAACACTAGCGATTCTAACTTCAGATGTTTCGGCATCAGAGGATTTACTGTTTTCTTAACATTTCCAACCGCAAACTTTCGATATTCAAAAGGTTTGACACTACCAATGGTTCTGATTGCTGGTATAGGGAATGCAGCTTCCTTTTGGTGATCTTCCAATTTAATGTTTGAAGCTTTTTCATTTTGTTTTGTTTGATTTTTTTGACGAGTGACAAAATGAACTTCTTGACCAGCCAATTGTCCGGAATATTTGATCAAATTTCCCCCAAGAGGAGTGGTGTTCTGTTCCAAATGAACGAGGAATTCCCAAGCATCGTAATGAAATTTGAGAGATGGAAGCATGTGCGACTGGAGAGAAAATTTTTTCATCAAAAATTGAAACTTGACACTCAGAGAACTTTTTGTGGCGTTGGGATTCTTTTCTTGAGCCCGAAGACTAACTGCCGTCGGCATTTTTCGTTGTTCCTCCCATTCATCTAACAACTTTTTGTACAAGAAATCATAACTCGGTAAATTCTCGGTCTTCCACTTTTCAAAGAAATTATAAAGTTTGAGTAGACTTTGCGGAAGCTTAACGACAATTCCCTGAAGTGCCAAAAAAACATTGAGCTCCATATGAAAATCGGAACTCTTGGGACGCCCGGGTATCAAAGAACCAATCGCGACGTTAGTGTTAATCCGCGAAAGCTCTATAGATAATAGTGTGGTATTGGATCCTGTGTACATTTTTTCTATAATCATGACCGAAACCTCTTCAACGCCGCCAAAGCCAGAGAAAATCAAAATATTCGAATTCTTGCCGCTGCTTCCTCTTGAACCCGGATGCACAGAACCTTTGTTAACTGATACGCCTTCCGGATCCTGTTTGTCAACGGAATGGAGGATCTTGGGGTTGTTGAACCAGGTAGAAAAATTAATATTTGTCAACTTAGTCTGCGCTATTAAATTATGGGCAGAAGCAGTGACCACAATCATTCTCAACACAAATATCCCTTGACCAAAAATATTAATTCGTGCAAGCAAATCTCTAATGTTAAATTTAGAAATTGGTTCGTCTTTTCGCCTTTTATCTCTGGAGGATTTCAGGTCCTGCAAACTGGTAATCGTTGCGGTAGACCGATGCTTATAGACCTCGGATAACGGGGATGACGGTTCGCGAGAGCCCACGGGTTCCTTACGTGATGACAATGCTTCGAACTTGGAGGTGAACACACGGTTTACCTTCAACCAGTGCTTAGCAAATGCAAGCATATCAGGATTCACATCAACGCCAATCCTCTCAATTATAATCCTGAAGGCGACATCCAGGCATCCAGAAATAACACTGGAAACCTGGGCCGGTTCGGCCTCGGTAAGCGGATCGGTGTTTGGTCGAGTGACTTCGACGGAAGGCAGATTATCCTTTTGATATCGAGTTTCCAAATCCACCTTAATTGGACCTAACTCCACAGAATTCACTTGTTTCCCTTCCCAAACGGATATCCTAATGATGCCAAAGTGGAAGTGGCCAATATTTATTGATTTTACTAAGAATCGGTAGATCTCTTCTACAGCATTGACTTGCGCAGAACCAGTATTAGGCTGTTGAAAAAGCTCGGTGAATAATCGGCAAGCCGACATATTAGTCATCTCCCAGTTTCTCCAACGGGAGAAAATGCGAACCACACGTTCATACATTTCATTACGATCCATCGAAAATAACCGCGTTTCAGTTTTCAGGGCGATCTGCAGTCTTTTCAGCCTTTCCCGTTCCATAAGTCTTTTGATGTGTCTCACTCGACCTAGGATTTTCCATCCATTGTCATTCTTTAATTTTGCCGCGCCCAATCTAAGCACGTGAGATGGCCTTGTTAGATAGTGTGGATCACTTTCAATAGAATTGATATCAGAATATTGTGCGATGCTATAAATTAAATATTGTAGTTGTTGTCTATGATGTTTTTGAAAATTTTTTAATATGTTTGAAAGATCCTCCGCAAAAACCAACCACCAGTATATTGCACCAGTCAATATTTCGGCAGATTGACTTATAAAAATTCCCTCAAAAGAATCCATGTCGAATGAGAAATGATTTGGTTGCGTACGCCCCATCCATCTTAACTTCAAATCATCCAAGGATAGATCCAATACAACCGGCTCATTATTTAACAAGTCTGATGTTGATACACCCGTTTCTCCAAATCGGTGCACGGACTCTGGTATCCCAAAAATGCCAAGTGAATTTGAACCAGTGACGAAACGCACGTTGAGTTTTAGCGAATCAAAATCCAAGATAAGTTTGGATTCTGTTAGTTTAAAGGAAGGCGAAGTTCTATCTGACTTATTTTTAAAGTTTTCATCCACCAATTTTACCATCACCGAAATTTGGCACCGATCTAAAATGAGATCCGCAACCGCGCATAACGTAGTGTCTGTTGGATCATATCTCGTCCTGACTCCAGGATGCTCTTCGTTTGTGGTGTTTAAATCATCAGGAAGTAAAACATCTTGTATGAATTGTAAGTGAACTCGAGGTATTGAAGCAGTAAACCTCGTCGTCGTGTATTTAAAGAGAAATTTTCGGGTAAGTTCACCGACATGATCCCTCTGCATCATGTCCAGCATTGCCTCGATATCCCAAGTCTATACGAAAAGTGTCAGAAGGATGAAGCTAAGAAGCTATAGCATAAAAGATTCCCGTGAGGTCAAAAACATTCGTACCTCGTCTTTAATGGCTTCCAAGACCTCTTCAATAATTTTCAAAAAGACAGGGGTCAATACCACTTTAATGGTCCTTTTTGTTTCAAACACGATGGTAACTTTTTCCTCACTTTCATCAACCTTTTGCTTTGTCGTTGAGGATTTCGGGGGAATCTCATAGATCTCATCAATATCATCCTCATCATCATTTGTTTTAAAGGTTGGACTAAAGAAATGAATATTCTCTGCTTCGGGAGTAATTTGCCCGGAGTTCTACAAAAAAGCATTTATCATGAACCAGACTAAAAAACATAGTTATTTTCCACCACGAGAATAGGGTTGTGTTTCCGACCTTGGACGAGACAAATGACATGCGAGGTGGACCAAGAAATGAACTTGCGAACGAAGCGGCAAACGTTTTACTATGAATCACTCTATACCGTCTTAGATAACTTCCGTAAGGAATCGACCTTGAAATTGGAGATGACATCAGCTGATGCGCGTCAATGTCGGGTGATCGTTCTTGCTCACTTTCGTCGGAACCATTGTCGGAATCTATTTAAAGGAGGTTTATTGAAGATCTGGGAAGAATCATGAACCCCCACAACTATATCAATTTTACCTCTGCTAAATATTACGGTGTCCCTAATAGTTTCGTGGCTATCGTCGCTATCCGAAAGATCATCTCCGTCAGATGCAGTGTGAAACGAGGTGTTTGAAATGCTAAGACCTGATCCTGTGATGGAAATACTACAGATGTTCCAAGTTAAAGGAGTCAAATAAGACAACATTTAGGACCCAATGATGCAAACCTGTCATCATCGACTCGAGTCGACAAATCGTCATATTCTTGATCGGAATCATAGTTGCGACCAAGGAATTCATGAAACTTCCTCTTGGGATTGCTCGAAATATCCACAAATGATGAATTTCTGCTCTCATTGTACAAGACGGATGCAGCGTCAGTATCGGCCGGTAATGGGGTTGGCATGGGGGGAACGTAGAGTGAGCCAAAGTGATGACCGTTTGAATCAAATTGATCTCCTTGGGAGTTAGCGTTGGATCCGTACAGGAAAGGCACTCGCAAGGTTTCTTGATCCTGCTCCCGTATATATGTTTGTTGATCTTCAACTCTTTTCTTCCACCCTGATGTTGTTCTGAACAGAGTAGCATCAAATGAACACTCGAGGCTTGCAACTTCTACCCAAGGATGAATTTCAGGTTCCGTGGAATAATCGAAATTGCTCGTGAATGAAGGTCCTGAAGATAACGCTAAGCTTCTAACAATTATGACGGGCAAATTAAGAGCAACTTTTGATGTGAATCTTTCATTGGCAAGATCGTCAAACTTTATGCTCAATCCCTCCTTGAGAAGAATTTGAGTAGCACTATCACGTCCCCTCACAGAAATGTCAATTTCCTTGATGTTTACGTTCAAAAATGTTACATCCGGGTCAAGGGGAACGACATACATGGCGGGCAATGCATTCTCGTCATCGACGAAGTGATAACCAAACGCCTTACCGAACGAAGTTGCGCTCAATAGAAATGACGGTTTCAATTGTCCAGAAATGGCGCCCACATTAATGTCCCAATTACAAACATAGGTAGCAGTTTTAGGTAATGGACCGTACAAACGGTGTGCGTATACATTTAGATCTAGAAATTAAACCTAATGGTTAATTATGCGCTCGATTTGATTTCGATTTAACTGATTACAATGTGACTATGGATAGTGCAAAATCAATCGGAATTTGATACAAATAAACCAAACATTAGTTGTAGAGACATCTTTTGTAATACCTTCGATGAATAAATAGTTACTCTGGTCTCTGGAAGATCTTGATTTTAATGTAGACTTCTTGACGGTATTCTCTGTATTTAGCAACCACGTTATGGGACCAAAGGTCACATCCATATCTGAAATAAAAAGAAGGTTGGTGAGATAATAACGAGGAAGTTTTGCATGCAAAAAAAAATTGTCATACCCATATAGACATCCAAATTTCTAAGATCTACTTGAAGCTCGTGAAAATGCATCGTGGAAGATTGATTGCAATTATATAAATTCTCAGGGAGTATTATGGTGCCATCTTCGACAATCATTGTCATGTAAACTTCAAAGGGATCAACGGATGCCTACACACGGTAAATCTGGAGGTGAGTCGTCGATTAAAGAATGTCTAAACGACATCAAAATAACCTTGTTGGCCTCAGAAAGTAAATTCAATGATTTCTCCGCCCGCTTGGGATCGTGCTTGTCAAGAAATTCCTTCAACGTCATAAAATTGATGAAAATACCAAAATAATTTTGTTGCAATATAATAAAATATCTAATGACAAATCCAAACAATTTTATATTAACTTCCTTGCCCTGTTAGGAAAGAAATACGGTCATGATGTTGATATTCAAGATTTAAAAATAGAAAATAGGAACATCAAAAAACCTTTATTGTAAGAGACAGAGATTCCAGATGATTAGGATCCACGGAGCTATAGTATTGATATGTTCCGTCAAGTTTGAAATTATTGACTTTTCCAAATTCCTTGCTGTCGTCAACAAGAAATCCACCGAGAGTTTGGGACATTTGAGGTGACATTAAAAAGCTTCCCCTTG